TAAGAATACTAACAATAATCATACTAACGATAATAATACTAATCCTAAGAATAATAATAGTAATGATAGTATGCAGCAGAAGAATACTAATCACAATATGAATAGTAATATGAATAATAAGAATCATGATACTGACACTAATAATAATAATACTAATAATAATCATAATATTAGTAACAATAATAATACTAATAATATCAATAATAATATTAATAATAATAGTACTAATAATGTTAATATTATTATTAATAATGGTAGTAATAATCATAATAATAATCATAATAATATTATTAATAATAATAATATTATTAATAATAATAATAATATTAATAATACTAATAACAATAGTAATAGTAATAATAATAATAGTAATACTAATAATAATATTAATAATATTAATAATACTAATAATAATAATAAGAATAATAATAATAATAATAATCATAATAATAATAATAATAATAATAATAAAAATAATAATACAAATAATAATAATACTAATCATAATAAGAAGAATAATAATAATAATAATAATAATAATAAGAAGAAGAAGAAGAAGTCGGAGCCGGGGCCGGGGCCGGGGCCGGGGTGGGGATTGGGACCAGAGCTGAAGCCGGAACCTGGGCTGGGGCCAAAACCCAGACTGGGAGCCAGGGCCCCGGGCCAGAACCGGGTCCGGGGCCAGGGCCAGGGCCGAGGGCCGGCGCCGGGGCCACCGCTCGAGCGGGCCTGGAGCCAGGGCCAGGGCTGGGGCCGGGTCCCGGGCCGAGGCCGGGACTGGGGCCGGGACTGGGGCCAGGGCCGGGGCCCGGGTTGGGGCCGGGGCCCGGGCCGGGGCTGGGGCCGGGGCCGGGGCCGGCCGGGGCCGGCCGGCCGGGGCTGGGGCTGGGACTCGGGCCGGAAGCGGCCGAGGCCGAGGCCAGAGCCAGAATTGGGGCGCCCGGTGCCGGGGGTTGGACTGGGGCCGGGGCTGGGGCTGGAGCCAGCCGCGGCTGGGGCCGAGGCCGGGGCCGGAAACGCAGATCGGAGCCGAGAACGGGACGGGACGGGCTGGGGCCGGGGCCGGGGCGACGCCCCCCCCTCGTTCATAGTTCGTCGAAGAAAACGTCGGAAAACACGTCCCCCCCTGCAGAGCGAAGCTTGAGAGCTTGAGCGAGCTCAAGCCCACGCTCTCAGAAACTCACACGCCTGATCGGCGGCGGATTTATATCACCATCTGAAGAGAAAGTTCCGTAATCAGGCGCTTGAGCTCAAACCATGTTTGGTTCCCGACATTATGGTCAATATGCGCATATATTTGTGTCTTGCAGGTTTGGCTTGGACTTCCGCGATCGCTTCTCCTGGAGGCACGTGCTTCAATGACGCTGGCAAGTTTGGACCTTATGGCTCAGGCTACGAACAATGCAGCAAACGACATCCTCTCAGGAATAAACCACAGTTTCACATCATGGATATAACTTGCATAGATTATGATCCAACTGCGCCTTTCTATGATCAAATTCATGGGTTGTATCACTATCTAATGGCACTCGCCCCAGTCCGCCACGCCCTGGGTTGTGGGACCCGAGGCCTTCTGGACACCTGTTGGGGTCTCTTGGGTAGCCTCTTGGGGGTCTCTTGAGGGCCTCGTCTGGGCCGAGGGAGCCTCTCGGGGGTATCGCGGGGTCGCCCTGGCGAATACGTGTAATGCCCGCCGCTCGGTATTCGCCCCTATCGCCGCACCCGATTACTCTGAGGGGGAAACGTGGCAGAAGTATAAACTTTCTGAGCTCCGCGCGGATGTCTTGGATCTGCGTTGGGCCCCCCTGGCGGCGCCTCCGGCGGCGCCTCTGGCGCGGCGGAGATGCAAGAAATTCGCGCGGACCTGCGAAAGTTTAGGTTTGTGCAATCTTATGGTCCTCGATACCATTTCATCCCAAGTGGTTTTGGACCCGAGAGTCCTCGGCGCTGAGCTGTGAACACGCTGTCTTGATAGTTTGACCGATCCCAATCCCCACACCCATCCCTATCCCGATCCCCACCATCCCACCACCCCAGTTGAGGATAAGCCCCTCGAAATTCGAATGGGACAGTTCATATCTCCATCTAGGAGTGTGAATCGGCCAGTGGGGCAAAGCCATCGGACGCACAAGCAAGGCACCATTATAATACCGATCCCGATAGAGCTGTTTTTGCTCAAGGGCTGCGGCCGGGTGTTCGATTTGATCATATTTAGGTCGATTGCTGTTCGTAGATGAACGTAGTGAATGTTTTGCTCCTGTGGTGGAGGAGCGTGCCGGATGGACGTGGAGCTTTGGTGTTGGCTGTGTATTGCACGGTATTGCTCACTTGTTTTCTCCTCCTCCGCTGGCTTCTCACCTTCTGCGCTGGCCAATGCTGCAGGATCATCCTCTGGCTATGTTCACTCGTGTTTTGGCCGGTACAAGCACCGCGTGCGGCAAGTAAGGCGTCTGACGATGAAGAATATGTAGAGTCAGGCTATTGGCAAGTGTTTCATGATCTCCACGGCGTCGTTACCAGTGTGTTGGAAGTGTTGTTGGAACCAACCGAGCAAGCTGGAATTCAACAACATAGAATTGATCGCGACACACCATTACTGAAGATCTGGCGCCTTCCGTATTGGATGCGCACGGAGATATTGGCGTTCATCAAGGTTCTTGACCCGAGCTGCTTCGTTGCAGACAACATCCAGTTGCCTGCGGCAAACCCCGCCACACTTGACCCTTGCGGGCAAGATCTATATTCATACTTCCTGCGTCTCGGATTGTCGTGCTCCCTTTCCTTGTAAGCCCGAGACGCTGTGGATATTCATATAAATCTGGTCCAGAACCCTTCCAGCGCAGTGTTTAATTCTATGCAGTGTGGTTATTGGGCTGTCTGTGAGGCGGCGCCATGACTTCGCGGCGCGTCGTGTGCGATGCCTGTTTTGTTCCAGCCCTCCTGTGGAAGTTGGGGCCCTTTGAAGCCGCAGCGCCGCGCGTCCACTCCCTCCTCCTCCTCTCCCTCCTCCCTGTCCTCCCCATGGCCTTGACGGGTCCCTGCTTCGAATCCGCAGCGCCGCGAGTCTTCTTCCCTCCCGCCCCGTCCTCCCTCCCCTCCTCTCCTTGCTTCCGCTCGTCGCACTCCATGTCGGCACGCCCCTCCGACGCGTCGTGGCCACAGGAGGTTCCACCCACGGCCTCCATGGGCGCAGACGCACGGCGTCTTCGCGCCCACTTCGCCACGCTCCCTCACGAGGATCGTGGCCCAACAGGGAACTTCACCACCCACCGAACCACCCCAACCCAACCCGAAGGCTCAGATTTACCTTCGATTTCTAGTGTGGGGGGGGGGGGTGGGGAAACATCGGAAAAACACATGTGGAGTCCTTACCCCCCCCAACCCGAAATTCGGGTCTTCGGGTTGGGTGGGGGTGGTCTGGTAGGTAGTCAGAACTCTACCTATGGTTTCAGTGGGCGCAGACGCACGGCGTTCCCGCGCCCACTTCGGCACGCCCCTCACGCGGATCGTGGCCCCATGGGAGCCCCGCCTACATGTTCAGTAGGTGCAGACGCGTGGTGTCCTCACGCCCATTCCGGCATGCCCCTCGCGAGGGTCGTGGCCCGTTCTCCACCAACGGTCGCAGCGTTCGTAGACGCCCGACGAGGATCGTGGCTCCATGGGGCACCCCGCAAACGGTCTCGGTGGGCGCAGACACACAGCGTCCCCGTGCTCCTTTCGACATGCCGGCCTCAGTGTTCGCAGACGCACGGCGTCGCCGCGCCCATCTTGCAAGGGAGACGGGTGTTCGGAAGGGCGTCGCCATTGCAAATGTTCAAAACAGGTTTCGCTGGGCCAGGTGAATACCACACGCGGGCCCCGCTCTACCGAGCGCGCCACATTCCGCGCTACTCGCAGCCGCATAGGTTGTGTCCTTCTCCGATGCAGCATATTTGTCAAGTGGGTGGGTTCGTTCTTGGAGGCTCTTTTGGAGGCGCGGGGCCTCCGCGGACTTCGGAGGGCCCCTTCGGGGCGTGGCAGGGTCTCGGGGCCGACCCCGTCGCGATGTTTAATGCACAGCTCTGCCAAAGATGGGAGGGCACCAACTATACACCAACACCGATCCTGGCCCAGGATCACCCTGGGCCCAGGATCGGTGTATATGCCTTCTTGCCCAAGGCAGGAGGGCGTATACACCGATCCTGGGCCCAGGGTGATCCTGGCCAGGATCGGTGTTGGTGGATAGTTGGTGCCTTCCTACGAAATGCGCGGCTGAGCCGTCACGGGGCCGTCTGGGCGGGCCTTGGGGCCGCTTTGGAGCGGCCTTGGGCGCCACTCTGCGCGCCGCGGTCTCCGAGCTCCCCCCCCGGCGGCCAGGGCGGCGACCCTCGACAGCTGCGGAGACGCTGCGCGACAGCTCCTCCTCCTCCTCCTCCTCCTCCTTCTCCTCCTCCTCCTCCTCCTCCTCCCTCTCCTCCCTCTCCTCCTTTTCCTCTTCCTTCTTCTCCTCCTCCTCCTCCTCCTCCTCCTCCTACTTTAAACTCCGTTTCCTATTCCTCCTCCTCCTCCTCCTCCTCCTCCATTCTGACGCGCTCCATCGTGCACAGGGCACGGGGGCGGGTACTTCTGCTGCTGCTGGTTTCGCTCGTCTGGTCTGTGTCGATCGCGTCGCTGCTGAGTCGCAATGTTGTGTGCAGGCGTTGGCTGCTGCTTGCACGGAAGCTGGCGACAGCGCCAGGGGGCCGCGGCACGGCTTTGACGATGTTTTCTCTGGGCCTTTGCGTGGTCCATGACGCTCTTGCAAGGCTGTTCAAAGATCAGGATCGATACATGGCGGCTGCTGCAGCTATCTTCGTTGGATGTGGGCTATGCCTTGCATCGCTGGTGCGGCCAAAGCTTATGCGTCTTGCCACTTGCCTATCAATCCTTGAATTCGTAGGAGGAGGTCTCTCTGGAACAGTGTCTTGGAGGGCATCCGGAGAACTCATTATGGTGGGCCTCAGCTCCAGCAACCCAAGCCTTCAGTTTGTTGGGAGGATTATGCGCTTCACTATATGCATCTGCTTCATTATGATGGCGCACGGATTTGGCCAGCTGATTGGCGTACCTCTTCTTTCACATTTATCGCGGGTTTTGGGAACCATGGCCGTGACACTGTTGAAGTGTGGAATCGTCATCCCATTCAGGGCAGCAGGTCGCCTGTTGAGATGGATGATGAAGCGCATTCTGCAAATCTTAAAGTTGTTTGCAGATCGGGCAAGCATAGTGTACCAGTCCATCATCGTTCGGACTGCTAAGATACTCTTTCGCTGCTTGAGGTGGATCGTGACATGCATGATGCAGATCATGTCGTGGTGTGCAAAACGGGCCCAAATGCTGTACCAGGCCACCATCATGCCCATGGCGAGCACAATCGGCACAGCCATGGGAGCCATTCATGAACTGGTTGGGGCCGTTGCTGGAACCATTGCGAACGTGCTTGGGTTTTTTGTAGACCTGCTTGTGCTACTCATTAGACTCCTCTACGGTCTGCTTTCAGCATGCTTAACCTGTTTCTCTGTGATGCTGAAGAGTATTCTCTGCCTCGTGGCTGATATTTCGCACATCTTTTGGAGCATGCTGCGTGCGGTGTATGTGGCACTCATTTCGCGGATGTGGTCAGTGTGGTTGCGATATTTGCGAGCGTGGAATTGCTTTGCAAGAGTGTATCTTCACATCACGTGCATAGTGACGCGTCACGTTTCCCGATGTTGTTCATGCGTTGCCAGCGGCGCCCTCCAATGCATTAAGCTATCCAGGTGCCTGCGGCTCCGCCACCGTGCCAGCGCAGCCCTCCGTGTGACGACACTCCGAAAAGCGCCCACCCAGGAGGCTGCAGCATGTCAGGGCTGAACCTAAACGGTGCTATTCGTTTTCGTTCTGTTTTCGTTCTCCCTCGTTTCGTCTTCCATCCGCCTCTGACGCAGAACGAAGTCGCAGCGAACGCAGCCCACGAAACCGCCAAAAACGCCGTTGAGGTCCGCCCCTGCAGCCATGTGGCAGGCTTCGCCCCCGAGGCTCCGGAGGGCCGTGAGATCTCTGGAGCGGACACCCCGCAGGCCGGAGCACAGTCGGGGCCCTGAAGAAGGAACCCTTTTTCGTTGGGGAGGGGCTCCGCGTTCCTTCAGTGTCTCACAGCTTGCCTCAGGTATTCCTGGTGTTTTCGATCGGAAATCGAAGCTTGACTGATGGAAAAAAGGGGCCTCGCTCCTTATTTTGGGTTCCTCAGGTCAAGGCCCCGACTGTAGCACTCGGCGGCGCGCCGAGGGGGGGGGGAGTGAGCGGTGGCGGACCTGCCATCGAGGCGGCGGGGCCTCCGAGCAGGCATCCGGCCCTCGACGGGCGCCCGGCGGCTGCGGCGAGGGCTCGGGCGGCTCCTCGGCACGCCGGAGGCCTTGCGAGCCCTCTCGGAAGGCCCGCCCCCTCAGACCTCCGAGGTCTCTCCTCAGGAGAGGAAAAAACACACAGACACAATTCATCGTCGATTCCCAGGAGAATAGGGGAAAACATGGGAAGTGTGGGGGGGGGGGAAGACGAGAACCCAGAAAATGTGGGAAAATGTAGGGAATATTTTTGTTTGTGCGTATTTATTTGTGTGTCCTGGGGCCCCTTCACCTCCGCCCGAAGGATCTGTAGACTGTGCCCCAGAAACCCCGGGGGGCGGGCGAGGGTCCTGGGCGTGGGTCTGGAGTACAGCATTCCCGCACCGGGGCCCGGTGCTTGTAGACTGGAAGCGGCCCTGGGCGGCGGAGGCTGACTGGGGCGGGGAGGGTGTGGCATGCAAAAGAAGCTAGGGCAAGGTTCCCGCTTCGGGCACCGCGAGTATGCGGCGGCATCGTGGTTTCACGCAGGAGCGAGGGTGTGGCGGCATCCGGGTTTCACGCAGGGGAGAGCGTCTGGCGACATTCGGGTTTTGTGCAGAAAAAAAAGCAAAAGAAGCTTGAGGAGTCTTGCTGTGCTCGATGCGGGGACCGTTTCTGACGGCCCCGGGGCCTGGCGAGGCTCCCCAGGCGCCGAGGGCGACGAGCAAGTGTTGCCCTGGCTCTTTCAGTGCGTTGAAGGTCTGCGCCCCTCTGACTCTCCTCCTCCTCCTCCTCCTCCTCCTGCTCCTGCTCCTGCTCCTGCTCCTGCTCCTGCTCCTCCTCCTCCTCCTCCTCCTCCTCCTCCTCCTCCTGCCCCACCTCCTGCCCCACCTCCTCCTCCTCCTCCTCCTCCTCCTCCTCCTCCTCCTCCTCCTCCTCCCTGGACGCACAGCAGAAACACGGTGCAGCCGCTGGGCGGCAATGCAGGGCCCAGTTCGATCCGGCGATCCGATTCGATATCGATTCCAGCTGGCCCGATCCGATTCGATCCCGATGTGCCTGCGCTCCCGATGCGGCCGACGCCTGCGTGGCGCTGCTGTGCGCCCTGTCGCGGCCGATCGGCTTCGATTCCGACTCCGTACCGATGCGCCCCGATCCGGCGCACGTTCCGACCTGATCCGACTCCCCGATTCGATGCTGACCGATCCTGTGGCCACCGCGCGGGGCCGCCGCGCGAGCAGGCCCGGCATGCGCGGGCGGGGAGGGGGCCCCGCGGACGGGGCAGCCGCACGGTGGCGGGCGCACGAGGCACCCGTGGGGCCGCCCTGGCCTGGGTCGGACGGAGCTCAGGGTGCCGCCAATCGGGCGCGGCCAACAGGGGGGTGGCGACTAAGGTTATGGAAGTCGATTCATGGAGAGGAGGCATGCGGCCACAGTAATTTCCAGATGTGTAAAAGATGTTTCAAACATGTTTTGAACATGAACATGTGAATTATGGTTGAAACATTTTTAGAACGTGTTTTACACATTTTAAACACATATTTCATTCAATGATCGGATTGTTAGGGTGTCCATTGCCATGGTATCCACAAGACTAAGGGGAGGGTGGATGTCATAGCTGGGGCCAGGGTTGTGGGCTGCGCAGCGCCCCGCAGTCGCGGCTAAGAGCGAGGGGGCGGCGGGGACATCGGCAGTCTGCGAGGCTCTGAAGAAGCCCGCCGCAGACGCTTAATTTTTGCAGATTATACATCGAGCCCGCCGTAGGCGCCGATTTTTCGTTAAAGTGATGTGGGTGTGTCGCGGGTGGGTCGCGGGGCGGGTCGCGGATGGGTCGCGGGGTGTGTCGCGGGTGGGTCGCGGGGTGGGTCGCGAGTGGGTCGCGGGAGGGTCGCAGGTGGGTCACGGGTGTGAAGAGTGCACTCCCCTGCCCCTCTGCCGCCCGTGCCACCGTGTGCGCATGATGTACATGATTTTCATGTTTGTGGCATGCACGCTGCCCGCCGCTGTTTTGGCCCTAGTCCTAGGGCCCTGGGACTGCACCCGCAGTTTGACCGCCGCGCGGTCCGAGCGAAAACAACTGCATTGACATTGGTAGCGGAGCTTGTAAGCTCCAGCGGACGCACTGCGTGCTCTGCTTCGGTGGCTGTGACCACCCGCGCGGGCCGCCATGGCTGCCAGCCAAGACGGTTCAGACGCGGAGGCTGCGTCCTCCGTCGGCGCAGGTCCCCCAGACCTGCACGCGGTCCTGCGCGTGATGGCTGAGACCCAGAGGGAGCTCTTGGCCTTGCATCGGGATCGCGGCGGCGACAGCGGTCCCAGACTCGCAGGTGAAGCTCCCGGAGTTCGACGGTGCCGTCGGTGCGAGTACCAAGAAGTACCGGGAGTGGCGCAAGGCAGTTGAGGTCATCCGCAATCTCAACCAGCTTTCTGACGTGGAACTGGGCCTGATCATCTACAGCCAGGTGACAGGTCGGGCCAAGGAGCTCGTCGAGGTGCTTGACGCGTCGGACCTTCGACGCGAGGATACGCTCGAGACTATCTTCGCTATCTACGATGACGCCTTCGAGAAGATGGACCACGAGCGCCTGGACCAGGTGCATCAGGAGTGGGAGCGAGCACACCGTCGAGCAGGGCAGCCCATCATGAATTGGACGACGTACCTTCGGAAGAAGCGCATGGAGTTGCAGCTCGAGGACCCCACGTCAGCGATCAGCGATCGCGCGCTGGCGAGCAAGATGCTCCGTGGCGCTGGGCTGTCGCAAAAGGAGCCAGCGCAGGTGCTCTTCAATTGCGGCGGCATCTACGACTCGAAGCGGATGGAGGTCGTGCTGAAGGCAGCCTACTCGAAGGTGCACGACACCGAGAAGCGCTCGGTGCTCCCTCGCCGCTCGCCGTTTGTGTCGGCGCAGCGTGAGCACGGGCGCTCCTCCGGGAGCTCGGGCGGTCGCTATCCGCGCCTTCCCATGGCTCGTAGGCCATGCGTGCTTCGAGGACGCCCTGGCCAGCATGTGCACGAGGTGGAGAAGACTACGATGAACGCGACGGCGACCTGGAGGAGGCGCAGCATGACGAAGATGAAGCAGATGAACAGGACGATGGAGACCCCGGAGCTGGCGAGGGGATCATCTTCGAGGACGGCGCCGAGGTCGAAGAGGAGCTGGCGTCGGACAACGACGGGCCTGATGACGAGGAGTACGAGGCGACGGGGGATCTCCAAGAGGCGTTCTTGGCCGGTTGGAGGGCCAAGCAGAAGACGGCAGTACAGCGTCAGAAGCGCGGGTTCGTTGCCCCTCGGCAGCGGGGCCCCAGGAAGGTCAACGTCAGCGGCTCCTTCCAGGCTGGTCGCAAGCCGACGGACCAGCGCAAGGCTAACAGCCGGTGTGCTGACTGCGATCAGCCCGGCCACTGGCGTGGCGACCCGGAGTGCCCCGAGGTGAAGAGTGGCGAGCGCGAGCCGTGCAACAAGATCGGGCCTAAGAGTGGCCAGCCAGCGTCGCCCAACCAGCGGAGCTCTGTGAAGCCGCCGGCTCCAAGGCAGGTGCATGGACCGGTCATCCACTGGGTTGGCATGGCAGGCAGTGCCGAGGAGCGTCGTGGCCGCGCCCCATGGCGCCGCGCTCCCCAGTCGGTGCCTGCCCAGAGGCATCCCGAGGAGGCCGGGCCGATGCTCCAGGGCGGATCGCCATGAATCCTCGACCCAAGAGCATGCCTGCGCCAAGTCTACGCCGGGACGCCGACGATGGCCCCGGGCCCGCACAGGGCAGTGATGAACGTGCGCGCGCCCTTGCCAGGCGCGGGGAGGATCAGGAGGACGAGGATGCATGCGTGCGTTGCCATCGCATCCTGGCCAACACCCACCCAAAGGGGCACAGCGTGGAGTTGGAGTTTCCTGACCTTGCCACGGTCCATCACATCGTGGAGCGTGTGACGAACAAGAAGCCCATCTTCTTCAAGCAAGGCCGCTTCGAGGCTCTCGACTTCGTCCAGGGTCGGCTCATGCGTCTGCAGCTGACCACGTCGAAGCCTTGTACGGCGGCTGAGGTGGATCTCGACGAGATCACGGCAACTATGTTCAAGATCGTGATGGGCGGAAA